TGTACATTTCTTTTATATACATTTGATTATAATAATATATTTTGTTTGAATCGATATATGTACTGGTTTTCGAATTAAAAATGGAAGGTTGTTACACTTTGATCGACGCAGGTTGTTACAGCATAACAACTTATCCCTAAAAACTATTTTTTTTTCTACGGGATGATGTACAGACTTCTATAAGTAGACTGCCGACTTTGTCTCCATGTTTGAAGACAGCGCTGGGCAGCACCATATTTGTGTTCACTCACTCTCAAATGTATAAATCACACGGATAATAACGTTAGTGTTTTTATATAAATTTATGCGATATTCACAGACGCATACGTGAACTGAAACAAAGACAGCTTGGAATCTGGTTCATCTCTTTCTATCAGCAGTCTATTGAATCAGCAGTCTAGACTTATAAAAGTCTGTGGAATGATGCGATCTTACAACAAAAAAAAAAACAAACAGAGGATCTGTAAATGTAAAAACATATGTGAAAGTTAAAGGAAGTTAAAGATGGCTACCTTTCTGTGAGAAAAGCAGCAAATGCATGTAATATTAATTTTATGACTTCCCAACGTTAACTTTAATAACTAATTAAAAAAAAATTTTTGTAATATAATAATATATTTTTGTAATTTTATATCATAAATTAATTTTATATCATAAATATTTCTTGTGAAGTACTTTGTGTTTGATTTAATTGTAATCTTGAATTTGCTTACATATACATATACATTTCAAATAATACTGTAAATGTAACATTTTGCCCTAGCTCAGTAACAACTTGCCCTACAGTTGGGTAAATTGTTTAATTGTGACAATTTACCTACTGATAGAAAATTTTAATTTTCAGTATTTAAAGACATAGATACAAAAAATGACTATCTAGTTAAAAATGTATTTGAAGCAATGCGTAGGTATTTATTAATTTAAATGTATATATTACGGAAAAAATTGCTAATCAAAAATTGTAACAACTTGCCCCGGTCTCTCCTACTTACATGTTTTTTTATTATACTCTAGATAAAATAAAATTTATAAATTTATAAAAAAAGTAGTGGTGGTGGATGGTTAAGTTATATATTTGTTAAGAGATAATGTATTACATTTAATATAGTTATATTTATAACTTTTTACTGCTTTAAATTAAATACAGTGCTAACTAATTTCCTCATAAATATAAATTATACGTAAAGAAATTTTCAGATTCAAATCTAATTGATTAAAGTATCTGATTATTAAATTAACGGCTTACCAGTTAAAATAGCGTCACCTGTGGTCTCCAATAATGCATTATTTTCACAGCACAGTATTTGTTCGCTCGTGCTCAAAGTTAATAGAATACTTAGCAAGAACGAAGCCTTAATGAGCATATCATTCGCCATCGTTTAATTTGTCATCAAGGCATAAATTACGCGCATGCGAACTTCGGCAAATAAAATCTGTATTCTGATCACTAATAGCTTTAAATTAATTTTGTAAGATTTTCCTAGAAGTCATATTTTCCATAGTTTATTATTTATTTTACAATGAAATAACATTAAAATAAAAAAAGAAAGATAAAGAAGATAATTAATGATTACATAAGTCTTTGCTGCTATTTTATATTTATTTTATATTATATTATACTGTTATTTTGTGTTATTTTTATATTTGTATTATTATTATAGGTTTCTATTACTTCGATTAGCCATAAAAATCAACATTTAGCAGTTGTGATTTTAAGTGACACTATGTAGTTTTGCAAAGAAACATTTAGCACGAAAGATATTTTTCGTTTTCTTGAGCGTTAATTTCGATTTATTAAGTCGCATTTATTAAGTCGCGTGACAAGCATTACTTCGGCGTTTAACAATCAGTATGAAACACGCACATCCCGCTTTACCTTCGCTGTTCCAATTTTTGTGATTACCGGCGGACGTCAGAGTCTATTTTACGCTTGGCTGATGGACCTAAAGCTTCAGAACCTTAACTTTGATATTGATCTTCCCTCTTGAATAATCTTGTTACTCGGAAAAATTCTACTCTCCGAATATAATTTCCGTCGAGATGCACATGACTGCCCTTTGAATGACGTCGTTGACGAATTTTCACCCCTCGTTTCGCCACTTTGAACGTATTCGTCCCCAAGCGCTTGATAAATTAATCTGAGTGGTTTTGTCACTTTGAAAAATTCTCCCCCCGAATAATAGTGATCCCAGATTCCTCAGGCGTAATGGTCGTCGCGAGAATCGCTACGTGCTTTCTCATTCCATGTGGAGTAAAAGTCGCCATGACACTACACGACATTCGATGCTATCTCTGGAAGCCGTACTCTTGTCAGGCTAGTTCTATGTTTTTTTAAATGGATTATATGATTAGTCACGTTGCTGCTAGGCGTGATACGTAAAATGACAGTTGACTTTTTCTTTTTGAATGCTGTAAAAAGGTGAGCTGTAAAATGTTGAGTAAAAAGATTTAAGTAGAATTTGAATAGAATTTGAATAGAATGGAAAGGACAGTTTTGCTCAAGAATTTAGCTAGATACAGATTTGAATATAATTTTGTTGGACTAATTATATAGAACGCTGATTGCTAGAATGATTATACATTTTTCGCAGCTTAATGCTTGAGATTCCTACGTAATTATTTTTATAATCCAACAAAATTATTTTCAGATCTACATTTAGTCAAATTTTTAGATAATTGAACAAAATTGTTTTTTTCCTTTTTTCATTGATGTGATCAATGTACATTAAGCTTTATCTCATTCAACTTTATTACACTCCAAAATTAAAAATACAATTACCTTCGATATTTTCTTTATGTATTACAATCATTATTATACAAGAAATACATGCTATAAAACGTCGTCTTGTTCTACTTTGTAAATATTTAAAAAAATGGCATTTGATGTTAATTTTATTGGAGTCAGAACGATAGTTTAATCACCCTCCGACCTGTTAAGCTGTTTCTTCGTTGAGAAGAAGGCTGAGAATCAGTATAAAGACGTGGCTAACTTAATTTTCATAAGTTCGTTTTACGACACTGCATATTCGTGTGATTACGAATTTAATTTGTCTAAAACATAGGGCGAATGTTACGACGACTGTTATATAATGATTTTATATCCTTCGTGATATTTTGCTTTCTGCCAGAAAGATTAGCAGAAACATCTTCATGGAAATTTTCTCATTTGAACCTTTCTATGATTTTGAAATACTAAATATATATTTTGTGCTCTTTCCTCTTTTTTTCACATAAATGTTGGATATTTTATAGATAGTCGTGGAAAAAGTTTGAAAATTGTAACTTTTTATTATAAATAAGATAAGCTGATATTTCGTGAAAAATTATATATTTTATGTTGATATATTTTGATATAATAACATATGAAATATCTCTTAAAATATTCATGTTTTGATGATCTTATAATATCATACCTTTATATGTTATTTAAAACACATTAGAAAATGTCAAAGTTACACAAGAAACTTTTACTCATGGGAGTTTGGAAAGTCGACAACTGAAAAATCGCTACGATTTTTTTATTACGAGTGCTTATAAATCGCTTTATAACTAGATTGTCAATATTACTAATGGAATTATCATAGTTCATCTATGATAATTAAGATAAGATTATCGTAGAGCGCATTTATTTGCTAGTTTTTCAATTAGCGTTTATCTTCTAAAGCTTTCTAATATATTCGAGACACTCTACAAGTCTCTGCCAGATGGAGTCCAATATAAACTCCGGAATCAAAACGCAAAGCCAGCAACGCAAAAAAATTCAATGTGAGTAACATTTCAAGGACTGTAAAGTGTTGATACGCATCTGAGTGACGCTTATCAACACTTACAATCCTTGAAATGTTATTCACATTGAATTTTTTTGCGTCGATCCCAATGGTTTTGTGTTTTGGTTCCGAAATTAAAATTGGACAAGCCTACTCTATAGGAACGAAAATATATCATTCTAGCTATAGATATATCTGTGTGGGATCACCTGCTAACAGGTGGCAGGTAGCCGATGGTTAATGTCCAACATAGCATTCGAGCGTGACGCAGCACGCTGCTATCCTAGACCCAGTCTAGGGCAAACTTGTATCTCTGATATGACTGCGATAATCACTTTCCCCGGAATCATAATTAACGTACGTTGCCGTGCACGTGAAATTAGACAATCTCTCGGGATCCCCAAAATAACGTAAACGCCCGTTTTGAACTTTTATCGAGCACAAAGACGTTTTGTCTATTATTCTGAGAGTTGTTCTTTTTCCTATAAGAGAATCGCGTAGCCACGAACATATCTAGACGAAACTTGTGATTCCGTACACGGCCAGCATGCCAGTCGAGGAAGTGGCCAGCTAGCGAGCTGCTTCGATCTGTACACTCGGTTGCTTCTCGCTAGGCGCACACAGGTCTAGACATCTATATAATCGAGCTACGTTAGTAATTACCTGGCTAAGGTCGCACCATAGTGCTCTGTAATTATCCGAAAAGTTGCGTGAATGGAAACGATAGGGTTTAGAAAGCCGACAGCGGAGACCGGTTATTCAGTGAACATAAAAGATGCTTTTTTTAAGACTGCCTATTGTTCTAATTGTGTTGTATTTGTAAATTTAATGGAAATAGTAATTTTAAAAGAATCATATACAGTATAATAAATATGTAAAATGAAAGATACAAAATATTGTATAAAGCAAAAAGGATTGAATTTCTTCTTATCCTATGTAATTTTAAATATATTTTTTAATGTTTTTCATCTCCAAAGTAAGATAATTTAATCCATTACAGAATGTAAAATATATACTTAACTAATATAATAAAATAAAATACGTTTTTAGATTTGAATTTACATTATAAATAAATAGAATCATAGTAATTTAGGAACGGAGGTTAAAATTGAACCACTGTATTTCAAAATTGCTTTTATTTTTCATATTAGCTTTTCTTTCAATTTATAATTTTATTAGAAATACTTATAAGATTATAATAATACGCTAAAGATATCTAAAAATGAATCTCTCAACTAGTGTAATAATTTTAAAACAGCAATTCTGTTTCCATTCATTTTAACGCAGGAGAAAAAAATTGTCATTTTTTAAATTTCATGATGTACTTTACTTCCAATTGAAATTCTACTTTTGAACTGTGAAATTTATTCACGAATCTATCGCAAGGTCGCAATGTATCGTTTCTTGTTCGTCATGTCCAGTTAACGCCAACGCGCTTGACATGAATCTCTCACCCTGTAGATTGTCTATCTAGCTAAAAAAATCTCTGCAATCGTGTACACATTGCATGTCAAGGACGTCCCATTACGCAACTATGGACAGTTGCAAAAGTTTCTGTATAAAGGAGGCGGCAGATCGCCGCGTTGTTATCGAACGACATCTCACCAACTTTAAATTCGGGATTTACCGCGACCTGGAAAAGAAAAAGCTACTCATCTCGAAATCCTCTGGAGAGTGATGGACTCGGAGTCCGCGATACTCGCAAACTCGCCTAAAGAGATCTCGTATTTGATATTTATGAAAATGACTTTATTACGACCGTACCTTGAGCGTATAATGTCCTGGCTCGAGCTCGGAAATATCCACCCACTGGCAGTCGATATTGTGCTTGTAAATGTCACTGCAATTAACGGAAATACCTTGGTCTCCGTAATTGGCGCATTTGTATCTAAAACGGTAACGATATTTCAAATTGTAAACTTCAACTAATAGACTGATTTAATCGCGATCATAAGCGCAAAAAGAACAAGAAGGAATAACGATAAAATTACACGTGCGTGTCAAATATGAAAAGAGGGGCTTACTATTGTTATCATGTGTTATTAGAATTTTTACCTGGGTTGAACATCGGGTATACATTGATTGTCTTCGAGGCAAAAGGACGCTTTATGACCTTCGGCAACTTTATTGCCGCTCGAATCGATTACGTCGAAAGTGGCGAATACTTCCATCGAATGATAATGCCTGCAAAAACGGAAATGGTCAGAATTAATGTTTCTTTCCTGCGTCAAAATTTATTTTTATCATTGCAAAAATAATTCCCAAATTTAACCTCAGTGTTTTAAATAAATCGATAAATTTAATTAAAATCATTTATTGCGAAACGTCCGAGATTCTTCGCTTAATGTTTTAGACTAATTAAAATGTTTTATTTTCTTAACAAAATTTTCCAAAAAAATTTAATTTTTATTTCTTATGGCCTGGTCACAAAATGGTTAAATATTATTTATATTGGACTATTTTTATCTGATAATAACTCAAAAAAAAATTGAAACGTTATAATACAGGATGCATCACTGAATACTATTTATATTAAATTTAATTTTGCGCTCCGAGAACTGACTAATGATCATTTTTTCTATTAATAATTTTTATTAGGACTGTATTTATTTTTCTATTTAATTTTGCTTTTTACTTTTTATTGGAGATGTTAATAATCAATTATCATACTCCGAATAATTTTCTTTATATAACTCATTGATTTCAGATATACTGCGGTTATTATTCATTAATAGATAAGTACTCGTACTAAGAATGCTGAAAATATCCTGTTTATATCTATATATTAACTCTCTAACGGTAAAGTTTTTTCAAAACGTATTTGATAAGGTAGAGTTAGATCCAATTTAATGCTTTGTTTACTTTGTTTACTTTTCATGTAGTCAATGTAAAAAATGAATAAAAAAATAAATAATAATATGAAACTTCTTCCTCTGTTTACTTACAGAAAAAATATATAGATACACACAAAGGGCCACATTTGATTAAAGTAAATATTGAGATTAATATGTAATATTTTTTAGTGGACCTTACCATTTTCAGTTCAAGCAACAAAATTTAAGTAAAAAATATAATAAAGTTTATTAACTAACTTTAAATAATTGCAGTAAAATAAAAAATACTTTGGTATTCATATATTTCAAATTTTATATTTATATAGGCCCGTTTTAAGTCTTAAGATGATATGAATCAGTCAGAGGTCAATCAGTCTGTATTAACATCTTAAGGCATTACTTAAGACAATGTTAAAATAAGAACCGACTATAAATAGGCCTTTGATTGACAAAGCTATGGGATCTTATATATTGGACCAGTTAACAAAAATTAAAGCGGAAAAAGATTTGTTATCAGTGCTCATTCAGCGCCATTATTATTGATTATTATTGACTCACATATGACACATGTGCCATTCCCATAGATGTTTAGGCACAGACGGACGGAAATCCGCGGTACCCGCATTTAAGATTCTCGCGGTGAAGCGTAACAGTCGTCTTGTCTCCAGGTGCCAATTTTCAGACTCGCTTTGCATCTTGTAGGCTTGCGAGGCCACGCAATTTTCCTCCATTGCGCATTGCAACCAGTACAGTTGACGGTCTTCCAAATGCGCCGTGCGCATCAATTCGATGTGATCGAACACGAGATCAGCCATCTCCCGATGACACACCACCCCTGCCATGTTCTCCGTTGACCCTAAAATTACGATGAGATTATTTCATGTCGATCCATTCTACAATTGCATAAGTAGTTATAAGAATTGATCAATCAGTCGAATATTCTCCTCAAATTCGATTGTGATTGAATTCTTACAACTACAGCCACTTACAACTATACACTTATTCAATTGTAGAATAATAATTTTTACGCGATACCGAATGTACGATGAATACTAAAATTTCACGCTCACTTTTTGAAATAAACACGTATCTCCTTATAATATTTTTTATTTCAGATGTGTATATTAACATTTACTATGAGCACCCGATATATTTGACAAATACTGCATGGGAGATGAGAGAAAATAGAAAGATAATATTTTTACTATCAGATTTACATAGAAAATCAGCTGTGGCATAAATCGGAAATAAGGAGTTTGTGAAAAAAAATTTTTTGTTCACAAACTTACATTTTTTCAAACTTCTAGACATAACTGCTTTTTTATGCAAGTCTGATAAAGAAAATAACCTCCGCAAACTTTTCTCATTTTTTTTATATTTATGGAATATTTCTCCTTCGCGAAATATTTTAGTTAATCTTTAGAATACACAATTAAATACTTGAACGATTAAGGAATAATTGGTATTTAACTTTTCGTCTGTAATTTGGATCATTTTTAGCATAAGCAAAAGGACTGCCTAGTTTTATAGGAGAATTTGGGCTCTGGATGAACAACTTTGAGACATGTCTAAAATTTTAAGGTATCAAAAGAGAATCAAAAATTTCATAAACTCAACTTTGAGTGCCAGAACTATCTAAAGTTCGCTATTATGACCACTAGTCTTATCCAATTCTCTGCGTCCAGGGCATCTCCCCGCGGTGACGGTAGTAACGGATTGTATCAAAGACATTAAAGTAATATCTAAAATGTATTTGCTACAGTTCATTAATCCGGCAAAGTCCTTGGTCGCGATTCATGTCGTCATGTCACAAAAATTCGAATTTGCTCGTAATGACGGCGATGCTCTTGAGTTCGTCCTGAGGGAGGGGAGGGGGGAGGGGAATGGACAAGCAGTGAATGTACCAATCAGGGTAAACCAACCTTTGGTACGGGGTCACCCCGAAGCAACTATTGGTCGTGATGAGATTCATTGTGGGCAATGTGGAAAATATTTAAAAAAACTAGTCGCGTAAACATTTGTTGGCTGAGGAAGTGCTAGATTTCTTGGAACAAGAGTCTAGTAGTTTCACAACAGCCTCACTCAGCACATTTAAATAAATATGTCATTGTTGGTACCATTATAAAAGAAAACGTATTGAAACGAGAGATGGAAACGTTACAGTTAAAAATACTGAACCGCAGTTTCTTTGTCAAATCAATTAAAACCTTTTGTTTCATACTTTGAGTGTCTCTTTCCCCTCTCTCTTCATCGATTAATATATATCACTTATAACTATTCATTTGGGATTCAAAAAAGATTTTAGTTGTCTTTGTCAAGACTGAACATATTCCAGATGCTAGATAATTCGAGAAATCGAATAAAACCAGTTCTACATGGTACTTTCCCCTCTCTCTTCATCGATTAATATATATCACTTATAACTATTCATTTGGGATTCAAAAAAGATTTTAGTTGTCTTTGTCAAGACTGAACATATTCCAGATGCTAGATAATTCGAGAAATCGAATAAAACCAGTTCTACATGGTACACAATACATGGTCACAATAGCGAACTTTGAACAGCTGTAGCACTCAAGGGACTCATTTTACAAAGTTGTGCATATGGAAGTTTTTAATCCTTTTTTTATCCTCTATAATCCTAACTAGACCTCAATGCTGTTCAACCGGGGCCCAAACTAGGCATAGTTCTTTCACTTTGAAATTTTTCTGAAACAAAAGAAGGCGGAATCTGATTTCTTCTTCTAACATATTTTGTTAAAAAAAAAAACTATTTAGTAATATAATAGAGATGTCGAAAAATAACTCTGAATTTTTCCACATTTTGTAGAAGGCTTAGAAAAGTAAAAAACTTGGACTGGACAGAAAGAGAGAGAGAGAGAGAGAGAGAGAGAGTAAAAAGTTAATTACCGATAGAGGAAAAATCTTTCTCTATATCAATTTTTGCAAAGATTACTTCATAAATAAGATAATTAAAATCATGTGATAATACCGCATTATTTGTTACATAAATATTACTCTGATAATATTTTATAAATCATATCTCATCGAGGATCAGGTCAGAAGTACCTGGACAATCTGCAACCTTGTCATGTAGACACTCTGCCAGATTTCCCTCGTTCCCATTGCACTGTACCCCGCTAATTGATATTGGGATGATTTCCCCATTGCCGAAGAAATTAGTCTGTACTGCGTCAGAGGCGTAACCAAGGCCCAATTGACGGCAAACCACGGCGGCTTCGAGAATGGACCAACTGTCGCCGCAGATGACACCCCAATCTGAAATTAAGTGGTCACACGAATTTGGTGTGTGTCTGGTGAATTCAAACATTATTACAGTTTTCTCGCTGATATATATATTTAAAATTTAAATACATATATAACCGGGATTTAAATTCGAATATATTTTTACCTTTTTATTTTATTTTAACGATTTAATAGAGGGATTAAAATATTGTTATTTACAAAGAAAACACGTCTATCTAACAAATATTCATATTAACTATTTTGGTTTTCAATATTTATCATAACTCACGTTTTTAGTGATTCTTTAGACAAAGTTAAAGTTCCTGCTTTAAATTATAATTAAAATTAGTTTAATTTTGTATAGTTCTACACATATATAATTAATATACATATGATTAATTATAATCCTCAAAGTAAATTGTTTTGTTACCTGTACTGCCCAATTTAATTTCCACTCGACCCTCGGAATGTACGCGTCCTCCGGATAATCGTAGAGCCGTGCCTTGCTGATATGTATCCTTTAGTCTGGTCTTTACTGGCTTTTCTTGCGAAATTGGTGGCGATGATCTCGTTTCCTCATCGCGCGAGCAAATGACGCCGGCAGCTTCGTTACTACCGCAGTCGGAAATGCCCCATCCGTCGAAACGGCATTTCGCAAGTTCGATCTCGGATCCGTCGCAATAAACGTTATCCATCCAATATCTTCCTTCGAAATATTTTTTATATAAAAAAATTGCACGCTTGTGTCTCATATTTTAATTAAACGCGTTGACCGATAAATAAAAAATAACATTGCACATGCTTGAACAAATAACAGAGTGAAATAAAATAAATTGTAAAATAAAATTGGAAATATAATATCTATATGATATTATTACTATAGTTTTTCAGAGATAACTTAACGCCATACACTAAAAATATGACGCGTGTCTGCCGATAAATTGAAATAAACGAACGACTTATTATAGATGATCTTGCTTGTCTCGGTCATACAAGCAACTGTTGCGCTCGACCGTGAAAGACAGTGGTTTAAAATGAAAAAATACTAAATATCTCATCTCACTTCTAGCCTGACCAAAGTAGCCGTATGTCGTTGCTTTAATTGCACCGTTATAGCCTAATTGCTTGCAAACCACATTGGCCTCGAAGTCGTCCCATTCGTCGTCGCATATACTGCCCCACTTCCCGTCGTGAAGTATTTCCACGTTTCCTGTGCATATAGCAATAAAATCTCTTGCTTACGTTTTTCCTATTGCAGCAACTTGACACAATAAAAAGGAAGTAGTCGATGTGCAAACTTTCAATTCATGGAAAGCATTGTCACAATAACATTTCAACAACAGTAATGAAAGTCATTTAACTTAAAGACAAAGTTTATTAAAATTTAGTAAAATATTAAAATAGTATTATTAAATAATTAAAAGAAAATTTGCATTATTATTAATATTATAAACATACGATAACATAAATCATAAATGTAATACTTAATTTTCAACTACAGTTATAAAAGTACATCTAAGTTTTGTGTCTCAAGTGTCCTGTTTGAAATACAGATTCTGTACCGCAGAATGCAAGAACCTCTGCCTTATGGCAATACAAGGAGGTTTAAAGTCTTTTCACTTGTAATTTACAACCTGATAATAACGATCATTGTACAATCTTCTAAAATTTTTGCTTTGGTTTCAAATGCTCTATTGCTTCGTAGAAAGATTTTGCTGAAGTTTCTAAAAATTTAGTTACATACAGATGTGAAAGTAATTTTATTGAATCATAAAAATAATTATGTGGGACTATTCAAATAATTATGTAAGAATGTACTCAAACTTGTTGCTGGAATATCAAAACTTTTTGCAGCATTGCTCATCATGAAATTTTTATATACAGTGAGAGCAAAAAGTATTCGTACAAGGAAATTTGTTATAAAAAAAGCCTTATTTTTAAAATAAACATTAATTAGCAATTTTATACAATAAATACATTCTGTTCTAACATAAACAAACGAGCTTTGCATGTATTCCTAATTTTAGAAGCTAAATTTCTCGTCTGTATGAATTTGAAACTTTTTGCATTCAAACAATACAGTTTTTAATTTTCGCTTATTTTTCAAATGACATATTTTATATAATTAATACACATCTTTTTGGTATATATAATTTTAAGAAACATACAGTCTATTTTATTCTTTATGAATAAATTGTTAATTATCCAACAAGAAATGATTGTCTATTAAACGTCGAATCGACGATAAATTGATATTGAAATCATTGTATTTATATTGACATCAATTCGATGATTCATTTCTCGCTGGATAATATTTACTTTTTAAAAATAAAGTTTTTTTAAAAAATATTTTCTTTCTACAAATACTTTTTACACTCACTGTAATTATTTTGATGATCCAACAAAGCAAAATTAATTCTTTCTATGAATAGTCGATTTTAATTATTACGAACAGTAATTAAACAACAGTAATTATAGAGAAAGACGCTTAATTTTCTGTCATGTCTTTTATTAACGGTTTTAAAAATCAGTACTGTCCTAATTGTATTAATTTATTTGATTGTTTTATATAAATAAAAGCATTAAGTATGTATTAAACTTTAATTACAATTTTTTATTACAACTTTGAACATCACTTGCATTTGGTTCAATAAAACGCGGCGACTGCGACTTTCTGTTTTAACAACATATGTAGAAAAGCGTCCTGCAAAGTCGGTCGGAGTTGTGGAGATCGCGATCCTATTTTACGATCTGATTTTATGATGACCATGCTATGCTGCGATTTCTGGTATTGCGTGTACATATGTGACATATGACACATGGTTGTTGGCATAAATCTTCCTCGAGTTGACCTCTTTTTAATCGTCATCGCGCGAGAGCGATTTGAATGGCCGCGCGATAAAACTCGCGCGCGAGCCTCGCTTTTTGTCCCCGCGAAACGGAGCGGGAAAACAGAGGAAAAGAGAGAGATTTATAATCCGTTTATATTGTAGCCGCGCGCTTTATCGCGGGGAAAATATCAACCCTCAACGAGTTGTGCGTCGTGCTTTCATCTTGATCGGATTTACGATTCGGGATGCATCCAGTTTACGGCACGTCTCGTTGGTGTACAATCGATACAATCGCCGTACTCGGTCTGTGTAGTATAATAAGAAGACCGAGAAGATGCGTAATTGATTTTAGTGCACCAATTGATCCGACTAAACGACGAAGTTCTTCTTTTGTTCCGCGTACGTCACAATGCGTTTCATATGCTTCCTTGAATCGCGTGAATTTTATGCGGGATGCATCGTCTTAAGATAAAATGAAATAAATCGTAAACGAGAGAATTCGCGTTATTATTACTGTTATCATTGCATTTATCATTTGTTATTTACGCTAAGTTGAGTCCCGGTGATTTTAAAGTAATCCTTTTCTCAACGAAGACTATCGTTGCTCGATATTAACCTTCTGAGGATCGGCATGTTTTTGATCGATTTCTTTATTTTAAGGGCTAGAACTTTTTTTGTCAATGTCATAGGATTGAGTGACGAAAAAGGTAACGCCATTGTCGAGTCTCTAAAGGGGTTTCCTCCAAAGGTTAAATATTTTAAAGATTAAATCTAGCATAAAATAAGTTTTTATTGCACCTTCATGTTCGCCGTTTTCACCTCCTGTCAGCTTTAATGCTCCCTCCTGCTTCTTTAACTTTCGGAAGTCCTTTCTTAACTTCCTAACTATACGCATCTTCTTGTCACGGTTGCTGGCCCAGGTAGCGTTGTTACTTGTGCAAAATTCAAATATAACTAACAGCATTATCAAGCTAAACGCGATTCCCGCTCGTCGCAGTTGCAGTCTCATTTTTCTTGTGTGTTTTGAAAATTTTAACGTTCAACTAAACAAAAGCTTTATCAATTGCCAGAGTCTAATCACGATTTGCACGACTTATATTCAACGTTGCATGTGATCCATCGTCCGATATTGCATGCGATATTTTAAAATAATTAGAATTTCGATGAGCACTCACGATTTAATCACACTTTCCTCGGGTTGTTGTTCTTTCGTTACGAAGAAGGACAGAAAAAAATTTACGTTGTACTGAAATCGTGTGCGCACGATTCCACGGACTACTGATCACGCAATATAACGCAATGCGTTCGCTTCTTGTTTCATAACGCACACTTGTAATATGTGACGCCGGCTTATAAGATCATCGGCGGTCCAGATGGCGAATTGTTTCTTTTCCCGCATCGCCGATCTCTTCCTGAATGATTCGTTAGCCCTGATGACCCGTTTAAGTCACATGTCGACGCGATTAGAATAGCCATGACTCGTCCCTGACGAAAGACTTTAAGAGGAAGGGATGTTTCTTCTCTTGATTTACGGTTCTTGTTTTGCAACTTCTTTCGTCATTCTTATTTTGCAGGATATGTGTTCCAAAATTTATAATGCAGCTTTACTTTTAGTTTAGATTATAAAATGCATGACGATGAATACGTAAAATACAATTTCGAAGAGAATACATATATGTGTAGGTTTTTATATGAGTAATAAAAAAATAATTTTAATTTAATAATAGGATTTAAAATTAAATAATAATAACAATGTGTATATAAAAAGAAAAATGTAATTATTGAAAATATCTTTGTGTGCAACTTAAGTCGAATTTGAAGAAACGATCTAAATTCGAACATTATTGTAAAATTATGAATCAAATCTTATTTTAAAAGAAAGGATCAAAATTACATGCTTATTGTGTCTAGAATTTTTCGTTCATTCTGCGTTTGTTCGCATGCTGAAGCTGTGTTTTATTTCCGAAAAATTTACACCCGATTGATCGATTGGTATCGATAAATCTTCTTGATTTTACGAATGAAACTATGTGATCCACTGTGATGATTAATACTGACATCCGCGCGATTCGAATCAACTGTTTATAACGCTTCGGGTCTCGTAACGTTGCGGAAACGCGCGGCATATTGTTTCGTCGTGCACGTAGATGAAAATCAATTAGTTTAACCCTCAATTATTACGGTTAAGTTTAGGCAATCATGATGAGGTCATATTGTGACCCCAATAATAAATTACATTAACAACGCTTAGAAAGCAATTTTGATTTTCATTACTTAGCCCTCTTTATAGAAAGAATATCCGAGAGAATATCATACCTTTAAGATCTGATGACAGAAAAAATAAGATAAATAAAATAATAAACTTTAACTATTCGAGCGCTTTCTCTGATAATCTTTACGAAATATCGCAGATCAAGTTTGACCTCGTTATGGTACTCGAAAACCGATACGTCTATATATATATATATATATATATATATATATATATATATATATATATATATATATATATATATATATATATATATATATATATATATATATATATATATATATATATATATATATATATATATATATATGTGTATCTATATCGCGACGGCTTTTCAAGATAGAATATTTCATATACCACAATTTATCATCGCCCCACGTTGGACAGCATTAAAGTCTAATAGATAGAAAATAAATATACAAAAAGATGGATCTGACAATAACCTTCTTCAATGTTATCTAATGTAAAAAATATTGCAAAATCCAATAAACTATTAATTTCCGTATTAATTGTCGCAAATATCTTGAAAAAAATGTTATATAATGGACATATTATATATATATTAGGTGTTGGAATTAATTCGTAGCGTTTTTTAATGAAAGAATGTTATTTATTTCACATGAGCATTAAAAAATACATTAATGAAAGTACTTCCCATCACTTGTAAAACGCTACGAATTAATTCCAACACCTAATAATTAGATATAAAATATGTCAATTTATTTATATAATTATGTATAAATATATACGAAAAATTTTTTTCCACGGGACCGTATATAATGAAATTATATCAATTAACAAATTACAAATGGGCCTTTAGGAATCGGTGCTGTAATAATTGCGCGTTAATTTCGATTGTTTTATAAACCAATCCTCTATAAATAATATATTTGTCGAACGTTTCGGCTAACTTCTAACCTTTATCATTAAATTTTAATTCACGAGAAAAAGAATTTGCGTTACAAGAACTATGGTGTTAGGATTAATTTGTATTTGAAGTACTCCTAAGGTGAATCTCCATAGCAATTCTTTTAAGTTTTTTAAATATTTTTCGACTCTAATATTCATTTATTATCTTTAAGATTAAATATTGTTGATCATTCAGCTTATTAAATGGTTATAAATTTTTATGGATTTTATGTAATACATTCGCTGATGAAGGCTAGAAATTAGCCGAAACGTTCGACAAATATATTATTTATAGAGGATTTAAAACAATCGAAATTAACGTGCAATTATTACAGCATCGATTTCTAAAGGTCCATTTGTAATTTGTTAATTGTTTTAATATAAAGAATCTTATTTTATTGTAAATATTGTAAAATTATATATTATTACTAATATATAATTTAATATATTATTTATTTCTTTTCTTTTAGTTTTCATTATTAAGGATTTTGAATATTGAGTTCAAATTGCGTGTTTCATTTTACGGATGAAAAACAGAACATTCCTATGCGTCACGTTAATCTCATATTTTTTCATTATCAGTGAGTCGTTCCGATAATATACCTGTCCCAAGAAAGTGAATAAGTGCACTTGCGTGTTTTCTCTTACGATTCTTCGCTCTGATGGACGTGAGGTTGGGTGTCATCATCCATTACCAAGAAAAAGTCTATGGTTCGAAAAAATAGTTTAGAAAGTCTGCGGTGAGACGCGGGTCTTGTCATTCAATATGTATCATTCGTAATCATTGCGCAACCATCGTCGGGGATTGCATGTTTTATATTAAATAGAAGGCTTGCAAGAAAGAATCGAGGAATACGTTACTTCATTAATAATTAAGTCGCTTTTATGGCACTAAGTATATTGTGGATAATTTTTAATATTTCGTATAAATTCTGAATAATGTTTCAATAATTAATCAATAATTAATTGTATATTAAATAAATACAAACAAAGAAAGTGTCACGTATCAATTATTTTGTGATTATTATTCATTTAATCTTTTATAAATTTACGTGTGTTTTATCGGCATTCATATTATACTTTAAATTACTTATAGCTCAAAAATATAAATAAAAAAATATTCTTTGTAAACACAATAATTCAAGTGCGATTGAAAGCATGTGTCAATTTTTTGCCTCCGTTCTCCGATTAATTGCAACTTCATCGTAATCATTAATTCGATGTGATGTCGGGATAAAAAAAATTCATATAATTCATGTAATGGGCCGTGCTTTTAACACGCTTCATTCTGTGACGTAATCGCGCGAACGAACGCGTGGTGAAGCAATTATCGTGTGCTATGCTCGAGTGAAAACGGCCTACGGCTAAATTCTTGACATACTTAGGTCATGAAGCGCCTCTAACATCGAGGGATGAAGGGACCCGAGAGATTATTTGGTCCATAAACGATTTCTTGAGCTGAAGAAAAAAGAATCTTTTTTTTTTCACTCTCCCTCATGTAAAGCAGATAATTGCTTTCGTCATAAACTGGAAGACCCATTCAAGTTTATATCTATATTTCCTATTCATGATTTTTAATAAAGGCAATTAACGCGCGATAGGAAAAATATAAGATTAAAAATCTACTAAATAATAATACTTATTATTTTTAAAAGTAATATAAAAGGCTCTGTAGTAATAAGCAAAAGGTAGTATAAAAGAAGGGCAACGAGCCAATGACGCAAATAAAAAATTATAATTCAGCTAAGAAAACTTAATACAAAAACAATTAAAATACAATAAAATGAAACAAACGTTTCAACTCCAATTGAGTCATTTTCAATGCCATCATACGATAATATAAATGTCGTTCTAAATTGAAAATTAATACATAATCTTACAATATCTCTTTCTTAAAATTAACAAATAATTCTTTCCTCTTTCGGTGTAATACGCTGTGAGTCATTTTTATCAAGAATTAACAAAGTCATAAGAAAGTTCTGGAAAAGTAACCGTATACAAAAATAATTAATATTAATCATATAAAAATTAAAAATATGATGATATACCTTAGTAAATCTGTTAAAAGTCCCATAATACACAACGAGAAAAAAATGTACAATGTGGTCCATTTTGTGGTACAGTAAAATAGTCTTTTTAATATAATAGGTTATTAAAGCAAATTCGCAAAAGTAACGAGCATCTGACTTAAACGATGTCACACAACGAAAATCTGATTTTCGTGTGACGAAAATCGGATTTTCGTTGTGTGACATCGTTTAAGTCAGATGCTCGTTACTTTTGCGAATTTGCTTTAATAACCTATTATATTAAAAAGACTATTTTACTGTACCACAAAATGGACCACATTTCACTTTTTTTTCTTGTTGTGTATTATGGGACTTTTAACAGATTTACTAAGGTATATCATCATATTTTTAATTTTTATATGATTAATATTAATTATTTTTGTATACGGTTACTTTTCCAGAACTTTCTTATGACTTTGTTAATTCTTGATAAAAATGACTCACAGCGTATTACACCGAAAGAGGAAAGAATTTTTTGTTAATTTTAAGAATATTGTAAGATTATGTATTAATTTTCAATGTAGAACGACATTTATATTATTGTATGATGACATTGAAAATGACTCAATTGGAGTTGAAACGTTTGTTTCATTTTATTGTATTTTAAATGTTTTTGTATTAAGTTTTCTTAGCTGAATTATAATTTTTTATTTGCGTCATTGGCTCGTTGCCCTTCTTTTATACTACCTTTGCTTATTACAGAGCGGGTGGTGTGAATGGAAATTAAGAAATCTGCCGGAAAAGATTGCTTTACGGTAAATATCAAAAATGAGATTCCGTTCATCGATAATTACCATCGTATCTAAATAATTTATTCTTCCATCTCCATGGTGAACTGTAATCTAGTATGTAGTGAATTGAAAACATCCAAAATATCATAAATACTTTCAGAAGGAGCGGCTAAGATAATATCATCGACGTATCGGTAGTAAAACAACAGACGACAAGGCAGCATTCCAATCGCCATCTTCTCGAAATCCTGCATAACAATACTCACTTATTATTTTTAACTATAACGGTAAAAAATTGCATATTTTACAATATTCCTTTTTTACCGAATGTTTTTTATCTTTTGTATAGAATATTTGGAGTTATGTGTGTAAACTATAAATATGAGCAAAGAAAGGACAATAAAAGATATCTAGTTTAATAAAACAAATATTGACTTTATGATATTATGTTTTTATTTTCCACAGTGTGTCTAAAATACTATCATAATTTTACATGGCATATAATTTTCTTTTCTTTCTTTTTTAGTAAACGCTAGAATTTAATTACGACTTATCGTTCATCGAATCAAAGATGTACGATTGAAAAAGTGTTTGTCACGCCTTTGAATAAGTAAAAGTTTACTATTGGCGCTCCCTTGCTGAATTGTTAATGTCCAATCGATACTGGCAGCCTATTCGGCTGCTGTATCGAAGGTGCGCGCGTGTATGTGAACGACAGCGAGTATTGGATTGTTACAAAGCCTTGAATATGGAGAAGCGAAAGTGGATCGCTTTTTTGTCGCGCCCACGGTAACGATGGACATCATAAATCGCGATCGTATATGCGCAGCAGCACGGGGATGTTGCAGATGCTGGATGTAACGATTGGCGTTCACTGTCTGATCGCAAGTGCACATTTCACCCGATTAAGCACATAGCGTCGTTGAGTGGCTTGTCGATCGTCGATTTGCTCGCTCGATGAGTACACTTAATTTAATAATCGCGATTTCTTCGCGTTCGGTTATACAATCGGCGAAAGTACAATATATACCGATTAAAAAAGAGAGATTAAGAATTAATAAAGATCGAGAGAGAGAGAGAGAGAGAGAGAGAGAGAGAGAGAGAGAGAAGAATGGATTTGGAAAACAATTCGAGAAATTTGCAACCATAGCCAACTAATTTACAGAAATTCCTCGTATTCAGTCATTTAAATTGAAGAAAGAAATTCAAGGGAAAAAAGAATATTCAATTATTCAAATTTTTTAAATATCCGTTTGAAATTCTAAATTCTAATTGTTATATTGCCACGAGAATAATCTATGCAAATAGCGGCGCGAAGGCAAATTTTTAACTGAAACTAAATCCGTCAGTTGAAGAGTTGTTCAGAAATTGGATTTTAAAATAGTTACACCCGATTGAGTTTGGAACTTGTAGTAATTTATTTCGTTCCATGAATCTCCCTTTGCGTTTACATAGACTATAAATGTATGTAATACGCAATGTTCAGCGACTGTCGAGGGTCTTCGAGGAGAAGTATATCATTTTTATATATCATGTCATTTTTATATATCATGTCGTTTTTATTCGTTGTTGAGCACTTAAGCGTAAAAACGAGTCTAGACGTTGGTGCAATATTTATTATACTGAATCACTCGTAATCGCTTGCGTATCGAAATATGTGGACTATTTTCCAGAAAAGTTTATTCGTATCATCGAAATTCATCGAGAGACTTTAAGAAAGATCTTAATTTTGTCCGGATATTCTATGTGCTCTGTTTGTCCCGCAAATATTTCCCACTCCGCATTTCTTACATATCGCTGCAATCTGTTTGCTGCTATGTATATTAAAACAACTCGTCAGTTTTAGTTTTTCCGATAAATATAACGATAATCAATATACTTTGAAATTATTAATTTTATTATATATGTATATTACATTTGAATGAATTTTAAATAATATAATTTTTAAATGATTTTTATTTTCGGATTTATTATATATATATTTATTATAATATATACATTAATAGAAACTATAATGACTATAATAAAATCACACGGAAAGAATAGTTTTGTTGAAATATTTAATAATTTAACGAGATACAGATCTGAAAATAATTTTGTTGGATAAAATAATTACCTAAGATATTTATATAAAAAAAAAAAATCGTAATTAAGAAGCTCAATTTAAGCTAAAATTAATGACAGATTTCTTCATATTTTGACATAAAAAAACAACTGTAAGAAATTAAAAAAACAAATCAGCTTCTGTCATTTCATGAGGTACTGTAATTGTACTTGACGCAAGATAAACGATATATCTCTTTAATCTTCCCTTCCGCACGCGTTTGAAATTCGCGCGCCGGCCGGCGGCCAACAATGGCGGCCGCATCGGCGGCGGTCGATAGAGTCTAGGGACTCTACCACGCCCAATCGCGGCCATCCGCAGGCGGCAACGGCGGCAGGAGTGCAGGACGTGCGCTACGCGCCGTCTCGATTTCACGTCTCACTCCCGTGAGTTCGCGCGCGCCCGGCGAGAGTAGACAGTAGACACGCTGTGTCCTTCTCACGTCACTCCGCATCGCTACGCAAAGGAGCGCAGCACGCAGCAGTCGCAGCAGTCGCAGCACACCGCGCCGGCTCCCGCTTCCCCACCACTTATAACCTCTCATCCGTCCCGTCGCGCTCGCGGGTGTCTCACGCCTCGCGGCCTCGCGGCACGCCACTCGCCAGTCAGTCGGTTTTTGTCCATCGCGTGCTGCGGCTTGTAGCGACTTGACGCCGCGAGAGCAGCAACTGAGCGGGATTTTACACAATCAAACACACACGGTGACGGAACCGTTCGTCAAGTTTGAACATTTATATATTTTATTCAGTATCTTTCGTGCCACGACGACGCCCGACGCCCGCGTCGTCGTGTGGGGCGCGCGTTTTCGATCGGAAGGAAGGAAAGGAGAAAGACAGCCACGTTTCTCATTCTATCTCTTTCTGTCAAGGGCAGGGGGAGAGGAAGAAACGCACCTCGTGGGCCCGTGCGACAGATCGTGGTCGCGACTGCCAGTTGAGTGCGAGTGCCGCGAGACCGCGCGGTCGGCCATTGTGCTTTCTTCTTGTCGCCGATACTTGTCGCGCGTTGTCTGTCAGCTTAAACTAAAGTGTTCAGTGTCGACTTATACCGGACGAGTCTGCGAGAGAGACCGAGAGACGTGTACGTGCGCCGTAGCTCGCTGCCGGCTTCTACTTCCGGAGCTGCACTGCCGTCGCTGTGTCGCCGTCATTAACGTCATCATCATTGTGTTACCGTCATCGTCATTGGCGCCTTCAGCCTGCGGCCAGCCAGTACCAGAAGTAAGTGCGGCAGACAAAGATGGGACGAAAACGTCGTTTCTTTACGGAGCGGAGCGCGGACGCGAAACTCTGTCGGTACCTCCCGCGACGTCCTTGCCTCTTTCTCCTCTCGCGTGGATGACACGCTCCATTCTGGTCGCCGGATCATGTCTCTGCCCCGCTTCACTCCGAATCGGTGGTTCCAGGTGCCACCTCGATCGTTCCTCACGAGAGCCAGCGTGACAGATCTTGAACCGGCGTCGAGGTAAGACGTTTGAGAAAGGCTAAGGAGAGGCCGGGGGCAAGCAGTGGACGAGAATGAGAGCTCACGTTTCGATCTCACGCTCCCGCGTTTCTCGCGACACACGCATGCACGCACGCACGCATGCACTCACGCATTCACGCACTCGCGACCCCCTCCCAAGTTCACGGCTGTCACGGACAGGTGCTTGTTTCGGAGTTGCCAGAGAATGTTAATCCTACGGACATTTCTCTATGAATGGCTTTTATCTTAATTTCTATTACACACGATGGATCATTCGAATTCCCAGATTAATTTTCATCACTTTAACAAACATAGGAAAATTATTAAGTAATTTTTACATACGCAATATATATATTGATCAACAATATTAGGTACCTTATTAATCATTATGTAAGGTTTTTAGTTAAAAAAAATGATTTATAGCATTTGCTGTAAATTATCCTTTATTTATAATGCCGGTAACTAATAGACGACAATTCAGATAAAAGAATCAGAATTTCAGATAATTTAAATGAAGAAAATATAGGTGCTTAATATTTTTTTGTCAAAGCTGTTCTTTAGAAAGTGTTTATAAGGTTGTATATTTTTAAAAGAATTGTATATAAATGTTATAATTAATTACTTGATGCTTCTGATTTTTTTTTAAGAGCAAAAAAGTATGCAGTGGATCGATTGTGTACATCTTGAAATAAGATGAAAATTACAAAAGTGAGCAAATTTACTAAGTGCTGACCAATTAAATTATAAATATTCTAGTAAATTTGCTCACTTTTGTAATTTTCACCACATTTTAAGATACTCAATCGACTTCCAGGATACGAACATCTAATCGTGTGTACACTAAGGATTAATTGTCCCCAAGTTACGCGCACTTGATATCACACACATTACACATATTATCAAGTATGCGAATATCTCGTCCGCTTTTACATTAATGCTTGATAGCAACTCGCATAGTAACCATCTATTATAGTTTCTATTGTTCAATAATACTAAATTATCTGAAAATTTCATGCGAACATTAGCAGTGATTTGATAATAAAGTGCAAAAGTGACTTATTGAAGTCGATGTTTTTATAGCACCTCAATCGTTTTTCCGTGGAACATTATACGTAAAGTATTCCAGAATATTATTCTTTTGATCCTCAACTTTTCTTTGATCAATTTGTGTGAAGTTGTTTCCTTTAACTAAAATATCGAGGGAAATCTTTTTATTCTTTCAATATTTAACATATTTGTTAGTCAATTAAATTTAACCGAAGTTTACTTGAAGGTAATAGAAAAGTGTTCTTTTATCATTTATCTTTTCACTTGAAATTTAATTCGTTAGAAAGACCTTGGTCTTAATTATTGATCTAATATTACTCAGGTATTTTTTTTTTAATGTAACTACTCATAGATTGTTTCTGACACCTCCAATATCATATCATTTTTTACCTTTTTCTTTGATAATTTCTAATTAAATATTGATAATATTTTATATTATCTTTTAGCTAAAGATAAATATAAAATTTTTTTTAATTGTGAAATGATTTGTATTAAATTAATATATTTAGTTACCATTTAAACAAATATTTATTAAAATATACTAAATGTAAACATATTTATTCCTTACAAGAATCCATTAATTTGACTTAATAACTGTCATTTTTATTAAGTAATACTACTGAAATGTATTTAAATTTAATAAATCTTTTTCGTTATATATATTAACGTCTAAACGTGTGTATGTGTGTGTTAGTGTGTAAATAACTTTTATATTTACATTTAAAATTTATAGAGCGAGAGACTTCACGCGAGTAATGAAGGGTTAATTACTCTTCAATCGTTAATTATTCGATACTCTTGATCGGGAAAAGTTGATTCCAGTCGATCGTAGAATTCGCATCGCGCGACAGGAACACGTGCTTGAATAAACACTTATTCTTGGAGCTTTAACTTTTCGGGTTTAAAGGGATTTAGTGTGCTCACGCGGTCTTCTACTTGTCGCTGACGAGGACAAATAGGAGGCTTATTAAACCGTCATTGTCGTTAGACGCGATTGCCCGATTGTTTGCTCTGCAAAGAAAGAATCTGGACCTTCAGAGTCAGATATTTCGCTGCTTGATAGCTCTATTATCAGTCGTAGACGCGCGATTAATTTGTCGTCTACCTCTTTTTATCTATCCGTATGCTAAGCACAAATTCACGTACAAATTTGCAACCGCCGAGTTGGATATTCGACTAGGTGCACTCAGATTGCTTTCAAATATTTATAGTTTGCGAGCGCACGCACGTAAGATACATCTGTGACGTACGATAATTTACATAAGATGTAAATTCCAATAATATTAAAAGCAAGCAGAAATAGCATTAAAAGATCACGTATCGATAAAGCTTTTTTTAGTTTTTTTTTTTGCTTTCTTCATCTTATACATAGCATCAAATAAGATACGTGACTGTGACTTTGTGCAAATTTTCGCTTTTTTTTTTCTTAAACTTCTGAAAGCATTATTATCACATTATGACAAATGTCTAGTTTCAGTGACAAGTGGGATCCTCAGAAGCTGAACAAATTCTTCTAGACAAGACCCTTTTATTTCGCTGCACAGTTAAACATACATGACTGAGCAATGACGTTCTTCATCGATTCGATGACATGCAACAAACGTTTGTTGACACAGAAGCGAGGTGAGCAGGAATACTTGGCAATAAATCGTAGCATCCGAAAATTGGTGCGAAAATTCGGATATTGTCCGATGAGAGAGATCGGTGCAAATCGGTTAAATCGAGAGAGAAAGCGAACTTCAAGGTCGTTGAATGAGGCTTTCTGGACCGATGTGAACCCTGCGTTCAACTTTATCAAAAATAAAAATTAATACCGTAGCGCGTTTGTATCTGTTTGTACCGATCATTATTTCGTTTGTACCTCAAACAGTTAAACAAAAAATGAAAAATAAAAAATGGCCAGCGCGCAACTTTAAGATTTTTTAATTTCATTTAAATTTGCCAATTGAAAGAGAATCGTTTGTACCTCTCTTACTTTCGTTTCTCAAAGGATTCGGAAAAATTCGGCAAAAATTAAAAAACGCTGTTTCTTCGGATCTTTTGAGGTACAAACGAAAATCAAAGAGATACAAACGGGTACAAACAATTCTCTTTTGAATGCCGTTAGTCTTAATATCTTTTCAAATGGATAATTTCCCAATATGGCGATTGCACAAAAATTGAAAAGTGCTGTATTTCCGAACTCTTTGAAGTACAAACGAAATAATGATCGGTACAAACTGTTTTAGGTTACAAACGCGCTACGGTATTAATTTTTATTTTTGATAAAGTGGGCGCCAGGTTCACATCGGTGCTTTCTGGATAGAAGAGGTATATACGTGCATATATCTGAAGGCCAGCGACATGCCGGTAGCAGCCTGTACCTCTGTCTAGCTAGCAAAATCAAATAAGCAGAATCGAGAAAAACCTTTTGAACTATTTAGTGCTCATTTTGTACTAATTTGTGCTACAAAAACAATTTTGTTATCATATGCCGTTTAGAAGAAACGTATGCTGCTGCCAGCTTAATATGAAGCTAGCAGGACCACAAGAAAAAAAAAGAAAAAAAAGAAAAATAAACTTAGATTCGAATAGTACTGATTTTGTGCTAATTTGTGCTATCAAAAAAAAAGTTAATATATTGATCCATTTCTCAAGAACCAATCTCTAACTAAATTGTACACAATACATTGTTAGGTTCAAGAGCAAAATATCTTTCGCCACGAGCAGAATCAATCTGTTCATTTGGTCTTGCTAGCTTGACAGAGATGCAATCTGTAGGACTTGCAATATTCATTTACGTCGCAAAGTCTATCCGCTACCGCGAGTTGTAGTACGGAAAAGCTTACACGGTTCCACACGCACGGCCGGTCAGTAGTTGTCGATCGAAGTGCTTATTCTCCTGTAATTATAAACGTTAATACGTCGTCGGATAAATAAATATGATGTAAATCTCGCTCTCGAGCCCACCTCAGATGATATGTAATTCGTCGATGTAACTCTGATTCTCTTTGTGTAACGCGAGGTAGGAAATTTCTCTACTGAATCAAGTAAATTCTTTTGGAATCTCATCAAAGAGCGAAAATTGAAAAATAATGGCTTAATTTTTAATCTTTAAGAAATTTCGCTTTTCAAAGTGAGATTCATCCTAAGAGTTTTAGAGAGCACAAAAAAAACGATTTTGTTGAAGTATACAGGATGTTCAGCGTAACGATCCGCACGATTTTTCACACTTCCGACAGTTAAAAAAAAGATTGATTGGTGAGTATTCATCTATTTTATATAGGCTACAACATGTGATAAAAAAATTTAAAAAAAAAATGATTTTTTCATAAGGAAGTCAAAGCCATCTTGAATTTTTTAAATAGCATCGTACAATTTTTTTCCATAATATTGTAGGAGTCTTTAAGATGAATTCAAATCACTGTTGAAATATTACTTTTATTGATGTTTTATTTATTGCATATTTTATTAAATAAGTACATGTATATACGTTCTGCGTTTTAGTCAGAAGTTCTAAGTACTGTTGTTATAAATTTGATATTAAGTATTAATAAAATCAATAAATATCAATAAAAGTGACATTTCGGTAGTAATTTGAATGTTTTGAAGACTCCTATAATATTATGGAAAAAAATTATATGGTACTATTTAAAAAATTTTTAATGACTTTGATTTTTTTATGAAAAAAAATTTTTTTTTAATCTTATCGCATGTTGTAACAGATGAATACTCACCTTTTAACTTTTTTCTTAACTGTTGGAAGTATCTGAGAAATCGTACAGACTGTTACGCTGAACATCCTGTATAAGATTGTCACAAAACTGAAAATCAAGGTAAAGTCAGATAATTTTGCAAAATTAAAAAATTTCTGAAAAATTAAAATTCTTGGCTTTAAAAGAAAGTATAATATGCTTACATCATACGCAGAAATTTTGGAACTACCAATTTAACAATTAAATGCAAGCTATGTAACTGTGTAGCAACATTAATAGCAAATTACATTGCTATGTTAAATTGCACTGTCAACAAAATATTTGGCGGTTTTCAGAAGGATGAATATACAAAAAAATTTCAAAATATTATTGAAAGCAGGAAAAATGAAATTTTGTCTGGATATCAGGGAAAAGTTATGGAATTTTACGATAAGGAATTTGTGATAACTCTGAAGTATGTAAATATTTAGTTAAATACAGATCTGAAAATAATTTTATTGAATCATTAAAATAATGCAAAACGTTCAAGCATAATGAGCATAATGCTGGAAAAAGATTCGACATTTTAGCAATCAGACATCCTGCATTATTTTGATGGCCTAAGAGAATTATTTTTAGATCTGTATGTAGCTGAGTACTTACAATTAGATATTTTAACAAAATCGTTCTTTCCGTCCGCAATCTTTTTTTTAATAAAAATAAAAACTGAATAGGCACAGTAAAATAATAGATTTAATAATAATAATTTGCAATATTTACGACTTCAATTATATCTATATTTTATACGCATGATCGCTTCTTGTAAAGATTTTTCGTTTTATTAATTAATGCTATTAAATATAAATAGCTATAAAGTAGCTGGATTTTATATATACATTCTTTTATTCTTTAAAGAGAGAAAAACATGATTTTCTACCGTTATTCTGTTCAATGGTCTGTCTTGTGTGCGGATATTACGTACATAAGTACACATCGGTATCGCATGGACCGCAAACCGTTGAACCACAATCATGAAACCGTCTCACTAGACGAACCACAGACAAGGAAACATTCTTTTGATTCATTACAATCGACGAGTGTCGCAAGTTGTTGAATATCTTATCTACAGTTAGAAGTGTTGTAACACGATAATATATCGTCAATGAAGCTACCTACTCTAATGAAGTCTATGTCGACGGATTGCAAATTACGGAATCTGAGATTGAGGCACGGAATTTGAAACTTCCGCATGGTATGACGCGTGATCGAAATTAAACGCAACCGTGGAATATCGTACGAAATTAGATACTCCTTTCTAGGTATTGCTGACTAATATTGAAGGTAAAATATTGATATCAAAGGTATTCGTTATCACATTCTAAATATACTGTATTTTGATATTGACAAATAATCTTTGTTAACGTGATCCCCATTAACGTAACTCGCGTGGAATAAAACGACAAACTTTTCGGAACTTTTACTATATTAATTTTTAATCACGAAGTGCAATAATAAAACAATTTTAAAATTTACAATTTAATTTCTTCGATTTCTAATTTTACATTGAGAAAAAAGTTATAGCAATGGTAACAAAAAAAAGAATTACTCACAAATGGTCATTTTTCTTAGTTAGTTTTGTTAAACTAGCAGAGTAAAATATTATTTTGTTAGAAAAACAAAATTTGGTAAATTTTTTTTATTTAATTTTATTTAATATTAATTTTTTATTTAATTTTATATAATATATTTTATTTAATTACTCGCGTCTTGTATAAAGAATAACATAAAATTGAATTACAATTATAAAATAAATTTTTTTTTGTAATTTTAGCTAAATAATCTATTATCGTGGAATTATAAAGCGGAGATGATTAAAAACCAGAGTTTTGCACTTCTCGCCACACCATGGCCAATCATGTGATAGCCATTTTTTCAGAGCGATTAGTAATCAATCAATCTAAATTTATATACCCTTGCTAAGCTAGAGAAGTTAAAAAATGCCTGCAAACATAATTAACATAATAACATTTCATTCTGTAAAAAGAGAGATATACTATTCTTATATAATTATTTTGTTTTGATAATCGAAATATTCTATTTGTAACTACAAATCTATGAATATCATACAAATAAATAGTTTTGTCATTAAATTTATTTTTATTAGTAAAAATTTTAATGTCGGCGTAGTAATCAATAGTTTGGTTAATCATACAAAACATTTCTTTTATTTAGTATATATTACACGGAAAGAATAGTTTCGTTGAAGTCAAAACTTAGCTAGATTCAGATCTGAAAATAATTCTATTGGACTATCAAAATAATTGTTGGACGTTCAAGCATGATAAGCAATGTTGCATTCTAGCAACCATTTTGAATGTCTTTTATAATGATTTTGATGGTCCAACAAAAGTATTTGCAGATCTTTATTTAGTTAAATTCTTAGATCCTTCAACAAATCATTCGTTCTGTGCAAATGTTGTGTTTAATTTTTGGCGATATTTTTAAGAGAAAGATATGTAAATTAAATTTGGTGTGCCAAGAAACAAAGGGATTGCATATTTAATTATGCTCCTTTCGTATATAACGAGAGCGAAATACAATGCGCTCTACTCGGTCGACCGTCGTCACTCGCATCGGAGCAACTTTCATCTAGCTTAAACTAATTTCGCAACGCTCGTTGTACGTCGAGCATTTGTCAGCCGAAAATAAAGCAAGCTCTGCATCCTGCGTAATAGTAGCGCACTCAAGGCTGCTTCATTATTATATCTTTCTTAATGTCATTTCATTTTATCTCTCAAAAATATTTTACAATTTATACCTTTTTTTATAATTATAATTATCGATCTACAAAATTTATATTAATAAATGTACAAAGAAATGTGAGGAAACAAGGGCGGATTTAAGTCGAACACACGTAAGTTCTTTTCTTTCTTTTTAATGAAAATGAAA